TTGCTTACGTATCCCAGCTTCTTCAGGTGGTAGTGAATGCTTGAATGATGGATGTTCAATGTTTCTGCAATCTCTCATATCGTGTAACATGGGTTTGACTTGATCAATGCCTTTATTTTGTCATCATCAACCTCAGTGGGCCTCCCTGAGCGAGGAATGTTGTTGAGATCAAAATCACCAGCACGGAATTTCATGAACCATCGTTGGCACTGACGTTCTTGTAGATCATTGTCACTGTAAACTTTATGCAACTTTTCACAAGCTTGACGCACGTTCTTCCCTTTATGGAGTAAAACAGTAAAATATGGCAAAAATGCACAGTTTGGATTTCCATCTTCAACTTGTTGTAAAATCTCCAAAACTCAACCAAATCACTCAATTTTTTTTTAGAATGAAGTTAGAACTGCCAGATGTCAAATGACATAGCAATAACATAGATGAGAATAACTCTAGTACTTCCAAAAATGAACTAGTGCCATCTGTTGCAAACATGTGTCATGACTTTTCCGAAGACCCAATATATAAAACGCCAGGCACAATGCTTAACAAATAATCACTCATTAAATGGTAGCTACAACAATTACTATTTCTTCTTATTGTTAATAAAACTATAATACTTTTTTCTTAATAATTATTAAAATAGAAAATAATGTTATTGATAATAAGGCAGATATTTATCAAATATTAACCATTTGCTAGGAGTTTCACATTTATTATCTCATATGTGGTAATTTTGAAATCTTGTTGTTTTATACCTTTGTGTTTCATTTCCCAACTAAATGTTTAGGGCATAGGCTATGTCATAAGGTTTTTTTGAATAACTTTCCCAGTGCTACACTAGTTGATCATTTATAGCAAGTGTTTAAGAACTATTGTTGCAAATGATACGATGATCTGTAGCTCTGAAATTTAGTGACTTGCGTTATGTCAGATGATAAACTGATCTGAAAAGTCAGATTGATTTGGTTCACAATTTAGAACTTGGGTTTAGATGTGCCAGCTGCTTAAACAGTGTGCTGGCGAAAGCTCTGCCTTCCATTCATTCAACAAACACTTTTGAATACCTACTATGTACCTCATCCTGTTTTAGGCAACTAGCAAAAGCTTCTAAAATAGAAAAATGATGGCGTTCATTTGTCTGTATACCTGGCATGTTTATAAACTCCATTTTTGCAGTTGTTTAATTCTTACAAGAGACCTGCTCATATGTTGGAATCTAAGTTCTTAGAGAATATACAAAACATACAGCATAATGAACAGTCTGGCTCTGGAGTCAGAAAGCCTGGGTTTGAATCCCAGCTCTTCTAATTCTTTGCTCTGAGCTCCTGGGCAAGTTACGTATCCTCTCTAAGCCTCCATTCCTTCATCTCTAAAATGAAAATAATAGCACCTACTTTTAAGGATTATTGTAGGTATGGAATGAAATATGCATATAAAGCATTCAGTACCAACATACTATAAGAACTCAAAATATTAGCTATCATTAAATTACGAGTTCAAATTCCTCTACCAAGCATACTAAGAACACTAGACAAGAAGAATGCACTAGGAAACTCACTTTTGAACAAGGAGAGAGGGAAGGAACGTACCGTATTTCCCCTTGTATAAGACGTTCCCATGTATAAGACACACCTTAACTTTGGGGCCTGAAATTGAAAAAAAATGTATTACATAAAGTTATTGAACTCAAGTTTCGTTCATCATAAAATTCATACAACTCCTCATCACTTGTGGGAAATGCAAGTAAAAAAATCTACAACCACTCTATAAGATGCACCCAGTTTTTAGACCCCAAATTTTTCAAAAAAGGGTGCATCTTATACATAGGGAAATACGGTATACTTCAGTTCTGTGATGTATCAGGCACTAGAGTAGAAGCTCTCCATATGTCCTTACAACAACACAGTCAAACAGGCATTATTTTACAGATGAGGATAGTAAGACTCAGAGAGGTGAGTGTCATGCCCAAGCTTACGCCATAGAAATGGTGGAGCCAGGGTTAGTCCTTTTCTGAATCCTTCTCACATAATGAAAACGGGCCCACCTACATTTCCCTCATTGTGTCTCTGAGATTCTACACACATTGCATTGTTTCTAGAGGATAGAAACAATCCTCTAGAGCAGTGGGTCTCAACCTTTCTAATGCCGTGACCCCTTAATACAGTTCCTCATGTTGTGGTGACCCCCAACCATAAAATTATTTTCGTTGCTACTCTATAACTGTAATTTTGCTACTGTTATGAATCGTAATGTAAATATCTGATATGCAGGATGTATTTTCATTGTTAAAAGTTGAACATAATTAAAGCATAGTGATTAATCACAAAAACAATATGTAATTATATATTGTGAAATATTTATAATTCATGAAGTGTCGTTTTACCTCCAATACTGCTGCTTTTCAACACAGCAGCTGCTTTCTACAGAGAAGCTGCTCTCTACACATGTGTGACTGGTCCGCATAAGTACATTATGGCGCCAACCCTGTCACATACACCTGTATTTGTATGGGGTATATGTGATGGGGTTGGTGCGATGATGTCATCATGCCGGGTACTCGTATGTGGGCGGACCTGCCTGGAGACGGATAGAGGAGCGGTGTCTCGGTTCCTAAGACCATTGAAGATATGTGTTTTCCAATGGTCTTAGGCGACCCCTGTGAAAGGGTCGTTCGCCCCCCAAAGGGGTCGTGACCCACAGGTTGAGAACCACTGCTCTAGAGGATAGCAGTGTCCAAATTTTGGAGTACAAAAGAATCACTTGAGGTGCTACAAAAAAACCCTCAATCCAGGGACCCACTCTAAAAGGTTTTTAATTCAAGGACAGGGCTCAGGGATCAGCATTTTAGGAAGTTCCCAAATCATGACTGTGTTAGAAAAGGGAGGCAGACAATGGAGTCAATTGTTTTAGACAATGCAAATTACAAGTTATTTCTGTTGCAGGTAGTTCCCAATCACATTCTAGAAATAGAGACATAAGGATTAAAACACCAAGCTTTTAAATCATGTAGTTCAGACATAAAAGATTAGCAGCTGAAACCTTAAGGCATATGACCATGTGCTGAAATGATACACAGGCAAACTGACGTATTTTAGGCTTCATGTAGCCAATGCAAGCTTTGTAGTCCTTTTATAGTTTCTCTACACAGAAACTAACTCTTAAATCAATTTTGTATGAGTTTTTATATCCTACCTATGAGTGGGCCTCTCATTTGAAGTATCTTATTTATAGCAGTTGCTTATTTATTAGTTGTTTGTTTATTCGCAGTTATTTATTTAGCTATGATGATTTTAAAAGAGTCACCAAATGGAAAATGAATAAATGAAGATAAATACCTTTAAAAAAAAAAAGGAGGAGAATTCTAAGGGTAATATGTCATTAATATTACAGAAGTTTATCAGGCCTGATTACTTAAGCAGTTGTATAAGGACCTATCAGGTGCTTAGCAGAGATAATTCCTTTAAAATAAATCATATAGGTAACATAGTGCTAATAAAATATATTGATGAATCCTTGAGAATTGCCCTGATTATGTCTCCTTAGGGAGCAGAGAACTGGCTAGCATGAGTTCCCTGTCAGTTCTTCCTGCTCTGTTCCCCAAGTACTTTCCAGATGGACTTGGCATAAGAGGGGGATCAAAATATATGTAGCATGGCCAAGTTTCGAATGAATGGCTCATCTAACCCCACTGATCAAATACATGATGTTATGCGGCATGAAAAGGCTGCTGTGCTTCACTGACTACTTTTCTATCTGAGAGCTTTAAAAAGGGAAATTTGGGGGAAGGGAGGAAGGACGGCTCTCTATAAATTCTTTGCTCTTCACATTCAACTGCTGATGCATGTTTCCCAGCCCAGGGAAAAGCCTCAGAACTGAGCAGTTGTTAAATTGGGAGCAGCAGGGTGTGTGTGTGTGCTCGCGTGTATGCAAGCACACAGGGAGAGGGATAAACCTGTTTGCTTTCCGAAACAATAAGTAGTAAAACAGGTTGTTTAGGGTAAAGTCCCTTGAAGTAGATAATTGATATTAAGTACATTAGCCTATAATAATACCTTATATTTACACAGTGCTTTGAAAATTTCAAAGCATTTTCATATTTATTATCTCATTTCCACTTCACAACAACCCTCTGAAGGAGGCATAGCAGGTATTATAATCCACCAGCACCACTTAAAACATGGCGAAACTGAGGCACAAGCATGTCACAGAAACTTGTTTGAGGTCACATAATGTGTTGGTGTCACAGCTAGAACCAGAGCACTGGAATTTTGAAACTTAAGCCTGTGTTTCTTTGGCAGAAAGTGTCTCAGCTACTGCTTGATTTACCCAGCGTTTACGTGGAGATGTGTGGCTACGATTTAATTGGAGAATACAAATCAGGCATGCCAAAAGAGTTCTACTGAAAGGAGACTGTTTCTAGATCACGGCTGTGTTAGAAAAGAAGGTAGAGAATAGTCAGTTGTTTTAGACAATGCAAATTATAAACAAACAAAAACACTTTGTAGCCAGTTTCTGGATATTTTGGAGGCTATTCATTAATTCATGTATTCATTTTTCAAAATATCTATTAAGTGTCTTTATATAAGAGACTGTACTCAGCACTTTTGGAAAGATACAAAGATATACATTTAATCTGGGGGGTTTGCTTAGAATTATATAGATAATTGCCATTATAGTCATTGGCCATTACCACCTGGTAGATGAAATGAGATGCCTTCCTTGCAGAAGAGCAAGACAAACAAAAACAAATGAAGAAACTGGGTAACTGCTTTCCTTCAATTCTCTTCCTGTAGAAGGCATTTTTTTTTTAAATCAAGATGATAAATTGTCCTGCCGGGTACAAAAACCACCAAATTTACTATGTCATCTAATATAACACAGACTTTAACTGTAAAGCCCTCTTGAAACTGGAGAAAGTGGGTTTAGGTTAGTGCCAGGTTCCTTATCAGAAATACGAGATCAGGGTTTAAGGGAGAATGTTAGTTTCTAGCCCAAAAAGCAACTTCCAAACATGCATCACTGAAGGCCAGGGTTAATGCTCTACAATACTTTTCCCTCCCTGGCTCCAAACCGAACTTTTTCTCTTGGCAGGCATGCTTGAGGATGTAGACAAAAGGGAACAGAGCAACCAATGGGCGTAAGAAAACTGACAAGAGTCGAAGGCCCTGTCATTCTGTTGGAACATAAGCAAGCGTTTGCTAATGAGTGTTGTAAGTTTCCTTGGAGGTCACTATATTTTTTAAACATTTCCCTGGACAAATTTCTTTACTTTCTAGCATAAACACCTCCAAACCCAAAGGCAAAATTTGTGCTAATATTTACACATATTATAAGCACTTGTTTGATAAATTTCTTTAGTTTATACTACATGTACACAAATAGTGTCATTGAGTGAAACTACTCTTTTTTGTTGTGACAGGTCCTGCTCAGCTCCCAATGTGAGTATGTGAAACAATATGTGTGTTCATACATGTTGTTTATTTACCTTGTGTGTGTGAAGAGTGGAGACTCAGAGTTAACCCTACCTTTGTCCCTAATTTTGTCACCATTTTGCTTCTCTGAGTTTCCAATTTTTCCACTTGTGAAATTACAGGATTGGAGTCGGCGAGCTCTAAACCCTGTTTCAATTCTACCATCCAATGATGTTCCAGTTTGTAAATGTTTTTGTGGCGATTAAACATACATTATATCAGTCAATCAGTATCCTTAGCAATATAGTAAGGTCCTGCTTCAGGATAATTGGTCATAGTTGGTTACAAAAATCATCAGTCAGGTAAAATGAAGTTTATTCACTTTACCAAATTGATTATTTGTTTGCAAAATAATTCCTGCATAGTGGTAAATAAAAAACTCTGGCTAGACACTTAAAATAATGATTTAGTTTTAATCCATGTTTTCAGGAATAGTAATTTAAAGTGAGTTATACATGCATTAAATAACAAAAAAAAATGTAAATGTAGAAATGTCACAAAATCATAGTGTTCTGGAAAGCTAAAGTAAAATTTGAATCCCATGTTCTCATTTTACAAAATAGGGAACTATGGAACAAAAAAGTTTACTTACTTGCTCAAGATCACACCAGTGGTTAAAAGGCTGTAAAGAAAACCAAATGCAAAATATTTTCCATATTTTTCTCTATTCACATTTTGAGACCACACCTCTTCCTTTACTTATGAAGAAAAAAATCACAGATGTTCAGTGCTTAAATTGAAGAATAGTATTAAAAATAAAATTTAAAGTTATAAAGCAGACATCACATTTTAAGTCTAAATAGAAGATTCACATGCATTTAAAGTAAGTTAATCTGTTTATGAGTTTCTTAATTTTGCTAATCTTCGACTTGCCACTGAAATACCATAGTACTCTATTATTTTCTAAAATTATTTTAGCTTTTTTGGTTTTTCTATAAATAATATTGTGATTTTTATAAGAAGAGATCGAGCTCTGCCAATAATATGTTTTCTAATACTGACACTAACTGAAATTCCAGTGAGTGTGCTTATAGGTGTTAGTAGGAATTAATTCCATTGATCCCAGTCACATAAAGGAGTTTTATTATTCTGGTACTAAATACTAAATAACCTCCCTTTGTATACTTATCATGTTGGTGCAATGGTTGCTCCAAATATTAACCCAAAATACTAATCAGTTTCAAGGCACGCCTCTCTATTTTTGCCATGGACCCCAATGTCTGAAGTTAGCAGGGCTCTTTAAAACTAGTGCTTCTAGCATTTCATTGACTCACACTAAATCAGTCCCTCTATCACCCAGTTAATTTTAACCTTGACCTCCCACAGCTGTAATGCTTTGCTCAATCCAAAAAACCTCCCCACTTCCACCCTTTCTGCTGCTTATGAAGCAACAGTGGAGAGGAAAATCAAAACCCACTCCTTTAAGAAAGATTCCACCTTCTCTGTTATAAGCAAGCGCCTCATGCTAATTGTGGAGTCTCTACTAAGTCACACACTTTACTACTCAGCATTGGGAGACGCTGCTGCCGCGGCTGCTGGCTGCTGCCGCCGCTGCCACCGCGGGTCTGAGGCTGCAGCGGGTTTCTGTGCAGCACTGCAGAACCCACACCTAGAAGACACACGTCTACAACCCTGGACACAAGGAAGCGTTGGATCCTCAGCGGGTAAGATCTTTGATCCATTTTGCCCAGAAACTGTGGGAAAGGGAATGATCATGGAACAGATTGCTCCTCAGACATGCTTAAAATGGATTGTGTTAATTTGCCTTCCTTTGATGGGGGCGGCGGGGGGAGGGGGGGGGACTGGATTTGTGACAGGCAAATGCCCTGTCTAGTGGAGACTATTGTCTGATACGTGCCCTTAACATACTTTTTTTTCCTATTAAAAAAAGGCTAACCTTGATGCATGCAAAGCTTTTCATTTTTTGCTTTTTAAATGCCAGAAAACATCCAGCCACTCCCAATATCGCTCAAATACTGCAGATATTTTTAAATGCCACATAAAAATGACAAGGCTGAGCATTTTCTAAGTATTTTCTCCCCAAAGCCAGGAAGCCTTCCCCGCGATCCTTCAAGGGTATTTAAAAATCGTAAAGCATGGTTAGATTTTGAGCAGATGGGAGATGGTGGCTGACTAAAATTTCTATAGCCTTAGTCCAGTGGAGAGAGAAAACGAGGATAAATGGATCACAGTTGGTGCTAAGACAAGATTCATTTTCCACACTTCGTTTGTGGGAAGAGGAAACTACATTTTAATTAGCACATTTTTAGGGGAGAGAGAGGGGATGAAGATGAGGGGATGGCGTGAAGTATTTGAGGGGGAAGAGTCTGCAGAGGAGGAAGGAAATGAAATGGACTGTCGCCAGTGCTTTGGGAGCGGAGGGAGCTAGGGTGGGGAATGAAGTTTGTTGTGTTAGGGTGGGGTGGACCCAAAGGACCATGAATAACCAGAATGGCGCTCGCAGAGTGGATTCGTGCCGGTGGAGGACATGTGTGCGGGAGGGATGTGCAAGTCGTGGGTGGCAGAGAAAGGTGTGCGTTGCTGGGAGGTCTATTTCGAGAACTGGTTGGGGTGAGAAACGTGTCTGGGCGGCGCGGGTGGGAGGCCCAGTGTCACCTGTGGATGGATCCACCTCCCTGCAATTGCGTCTTGCAAAGTTTCCCAGGCCCGGGATTCATTTTGAAGGCTGGCGGTGCCTCGACTTTTCAATTCCAAGAGCTCAGCTCTCATAGTCACAAGGCCAGGGCAAAAGTGGGGGTGAAGACCCTCGGCCGGTCGAAGTGTAGCAGGATTGAGAGAGCCCTCTGTAGAGGTGAGTAAGGGGGAGAAGGCGCCCCCACAGGCAGCTGTGCGGAGAAGAAAAACCCAGGCCTGTCCTACGGGGGGCGTGCGGAGGTTGAACCTCAGCAGGGACCTACCCCTGAAGACCCAGCCACCAGTGTGGGCAGCAGAGGCTTGACTCCGAAAGAGGCGGCTCAGCCTTGGGAACAGGGGAGCTCGTTCAAGGTGGGGCGGGCGACATTTCCCAGGCGCCCCTCCTCCCTCTCGTAGTCAGTCGGGTTTCCATCGGGGTCGTTTCCCGCTCCGACCCTCAGGGGACGCCGCAGAACAGAGCAGCATAGCCGGAGGAGGACGCAGAAGAGG